CCCTACACCTAAAGGAGCTGGAGAAAGAACAAGAAAGAAACCCTAAACCCAGCAGGAGAAGAGAAATCATAAAGATCAGAGCAGAAATCAATGAAATAGAAACAAAAAAAAAAAAAAACACAATAAAGCAAATCAATGAAACTAGGAGCTGGTTCTCTGAAAGAATTAATAAGATTGATAAACCCTGGCCAGACTTATCAAAAAGAAAAGAGAAAGGACCCAAATAAATAAAATCATGAATGAAAGAGGAGAGATCACAACTAACACCAAAGAAATACAGACAATTATAAGAACATTCTATGAGCAACTCTATGCCAACAAATTTGACAATCTGGAAGAAATGGATGCATTCTTAGAGACATATAAACTACCACAACTGAACCAGGAAGAAATAGAAAACCATAACCAGTAAGGAGATTGAAACAGTCATCAAAAATCCCCAAACAAACAAAAGCCCAGGGCCAGATGGTTTCCCAGGGGAATTCTACCAAACATTTAAAGAAGAACTAATTCCTATTCTCCTGAAACTGTTCCAAAAATAGAAATGGAAGGAAAACTTCCAAACTCATTTTATGAGGCCAGCATCACCTTGAATCCAAAACTAGACAAGGATCCCATCAAAAAACAGAACTATAGACCAATATCCTTGATGAACACAGATTCAAAAATTCTCACCAAAATACTAGCTAATAGGATTCAACAGTACATTAAAAGGATTATTCACCATGACCAAGTGGGATTTATTCCAGGGCTGCAGGGTTGGTTCAACATCCGCAAATCCTCAGTGATACAACACATTAATAAAAGAAAGAACAAGAACCATACGATCCTCTCCATAGATGCTGAAAAAGCATATGACAAAGTACAGCATCCCTTCCTGATCAAAACTCTTCAAAGTGTAGGGATAGAGGGCACATACCTCAATATTATCAAAGCCATCTATGAAAAACCCACCACAAATATCATTCTCAATGGAGAAAAACTGAAAGCTTTTCCACTAAGGTCAAGAACATAGCAGGGATGTCCATTATCACCACTGCTATTCAACATAGTACTAGAAGTCCTAGCCTCAGCAATCAGACAACAAAAGGAAATTAAAGTCATCCAAATCGGCAAAGAAGAAGTCAAACTATCACTCTTCGCAGATGATATGATACTATATGTGGAAAACCCAAAAGACTCCACTCCAAAACTGCTAGAACTTGTACAGGAATTCAGTAAAGTGTCAGGATATAAAATCAATGCACAGAAATCAGTTGTGTTTCCCCACACAAACAACAAGACAGAAGAAAGAGAAATTAAGGAGTCAATCCCATTTACAATTGCACCCAAAACCATAAGATACCTAGGAATAAACCTAACCAAAGAGGCTAAGAATCTATACTCAGAAAACTATAAAATACTCATGAAAGAAATTGAGGAAGACACAAAAAAAAATGGAAAAATATTCCATGCTCCTGGATTGGAAGAACAAATATTGTGAAAATGTCTATGCTACCTAAAACAATCTACACATTTAATGCAATTCCTATCAAAATACCATCCATTTTTTTCAAAGAAATGGAACAAATAATCCTAAAATTTATATGGAACCAGAAAAGACCTCGAATAGCCAAAGGAATATTGAAAAAGAAAGCCAAAGTTGGTGGCATCACAATTCCAGACTTCAAGCTCTATTACGAAGCTGTCATCATCAAGACAGCATGATACTGGCACAAAAACAGACACATAGATCAATGGAACAGAATAGAGAGCCCAGAAATAGACCCTCAACTCTATGGTCAACTAATCTTCGACAAAGCAGGAAAGAATGTCCAATGGAAAAAAGACAGTCTCTTCAACAAATGGTGTTGGGAAAATTGGACAGCCACATGCAGAAAAATGAAATTGGACCATTTCCTTACACCACACACGAAAATAGACTCAAAATGGATGAAGGACCTCAATGTGAGAAAGGAATCCATCAAAATCCTTGAGGAGAACACAGGCAGCAACCTCTTCGACCTCAGCCGCAGCAACATCTTCCTAGGAACATCGCCAAAGGCAAGGGAAGCAAGGGCAAAAATGAACTATTGGGATTTCATCAAGATCAAAAGCTTTTGCAGAGCAAAGGAAACAGTGAACAAAACCAAAAGACAACTGACAGAATGGGAGAAGATATTTGCAAATGACATATCAGATAAAGGGCTAGTGTCCAAAATCTATAAAGAGCTTAGCAAATTCAACACCCAAAGAACAAATAGTCCAATCAAGAAATGGGCAGAGGATGTGAACAGACATGAACAGACAAAGAAGACATCCAGATGGCCAACAGACACATGAAAAAGTGCTCCATATCACTCGGCATCAGGGAAATACAAATCGAAACCACAATGAGATACCACCTCAGACCAGTCAGAATGGCTAAAATTAACAAGTCAGGAAATGACAGATGCTGGCGAGGATGCGGAGAAAGGGGAACCCTCCTACACTGTTGGTGGGAATGCAAGCTGGTGCAACCACTCTGGAAAACAGCGTGGAGGTTCCTCAAAAAGTTGAAAATAAAGCTACACTATGAACCAGCAATTGCTCAACTGGGTATTTACCCTAAAGACATGAATGTACTGATCCAAAGGGGCACGTGCACCCAAATGTTTATAGCAGCAATGTCTACAATAGCCAGACTATGGAAAGAACCTAGATGTCCATCCACAGATGAATGGATAAAGAAGAGGTGGTATATATACACAATGGAATACTAAGCAGCCATCAAAAGAAATGAAATCTTGCCATTTGCAACGACGTGGATGGAACTAGAGGGTATCCTGCTTATTGAAATAAGTCAATCGGAGAAAGACAACTATCATATGATGTCCCTGATATGAGGAGGTGGAGATGCAACATGGGGGGTTAAGGGAGTAGGAGAAGAATAAATGAAACAAGATTATATTGGGAGGGAGACAAACCATAAGTGACTCTTAATTTCACAAAACAAACTGAAGGTTGCTGAGGGGAGGGTGCTTGGGAGAAGGGGGTGGGGTTATGGACATTGGGGAGGGTATGTGCTATGGTGAGTGCTGTGAAATGTGTAAACCTGGCGATTCACAGACCTGTACCTCTGGGGATAAAAATACATTATATGTTTATAAAAAATTAAAAATTAAAAAAAAAGAGTCTCTCTCTCTCTCTCTCTCTCTGCATATCCCTGCCCACTCTCACTCTCTCTCTCTCTTTCTTAAAAAAAAAAAAAATACAAATACTGCCCTAATTCTTTATGGACTCAAAGCTACTCAATAGAGCAACAACAACAACAATTTAAAAAAGAAAACCCACTAATCCAGACTTTCCTTGTTTATACCACCTAGAACTGATGTCTCCATCTCTAGAGAAAGCTGCCACTAGTCAATAATAACATTATTTCATACATGGCACCAGTCTTGGCTAGAATATTAAATGAAAGTATAGCTGAGATCAGCTATCATTTGTTTTATCTATTAATGAGATTTAGATAAGTAAAGGTTTATTAAGTTTATTAACAGCATATGAGAGGGTATAGAAGCACAGAGATAACGTATAAGAAAGAGGTTTCTCCAACTAGGGGAAGAAACTGGGGGAAAATGTTTATTAATAAACCTTAAGTACCAAGTACTACAAACAAAGCAAGGAAAATCATTATGTATTTGAAGAATATGGATCCTTTGAATGGAATTTTACAGTAAAATAAGAGACAAGAAAGCAAAAAATAACCTCTGCATCCTGACTAGCAGTGGGTAGGAATAGGACACCTGGCCAAGGTCTCATTCTGGGTGAAGCAAATAGATTGATGATGAAGAATGTTGGGAATCCTTTTAAAGGGTGACAAAAATGCTTGTGAGTGGTGAGAACAATGTTCACACAAGCCTTCACTTTTCACCAAATGTAACTATTCATATATTTTCAAAAATATTTTAACTTCAGAAAATTAACAGAGAGTTTATTACACCTTAGTTAAAAACCACAATGGAATCATCAGCCTCTGCAAATATTTTACTTACCTACACTCCCTAAAAATGTTACACATCATTATGTACCTAAGCCTAGTATTAGATTGTATGACATTGTGGAACTCTTCTTAATCTTCACATAATATTTATTATCATTTATTGCTTTAGAAAACTAAGATATCACATTTTGGGTAGGAAATATTCTGGATAGAAGAAAAATTTATTTTTGTAAATTACCCATTTAATAATTCTTATGTACACTTTTCCTATTCTCTTCCAAAATGGAGGCCAGCAGACACAAGGCAAACAGCTCTTCTAGAGTCACCCTGAACTATGCAGTACACAGTGACTCTCTAACCCTGAGCGTATTTCTCAGCCATATTTACATAAGACTTGACCACACCACTGCTTTTGGTCAAATGCTTAAAGTCATTGAGCAGTTCTGTTTTCATTTCCTCATCAAGTAGTAAATTTTTCAAAACTAAAGTAGAAACTGGTGGGGAAAGTATACACTGACTTTCTTTTCTTAGCTGTAGAATAACTTCTTCATTGGGCACTCAATTGTCTCATGACCTTCTAAAATTTAATTTTCTTGTTTTGATTAAGGACATTTCAAGGATGCCTGGGTGGCTCAGTTTGGATAAGTATCTGACTTAGGTTCAGGTCATGATCCCAGGGTCCCATGATACAGCCCCACATGAGACTCCCCACTCAGGAGTCTGCTTGTCCCTCTCCCCCTGACCCTGCCCCTGCTTGTGCTCTTTCACTCAAACAAATACATAAAATCTTAAGACAAAAAAAGAGGAATTTCATTTGACCACCCTGCAAGGTTAATTGTAGACAAAAACATATTCCTGAATGCCAGTACGTGAAATGATTACAAAATATCTAGATGCAGTTCTCACACCAGAAGAGGTAATTGGTAAGAAATGAGCAGTTGTTCAATCATTATTTGTTCATTTATTCATTTACTCGACATGTATTTAAAAGTTCCCTGTCCTTAAGCATTTGTGCTTCATGGAGTTAGATCTTTCCTACCTGGAAGTAAGGGTTGTCCTTTGTTTAAAACAGGAAATTCTCGACAGATTTCCCCATCCTCTTGATCTCGTGCCAACCATCGTTGAACAGGTATATAAAACTCTTTTCCAGAATTCATGTTCCACAATTGTATCTACAAAGCAACAGTATTTCTTGTAAAAAATGTAAGAATTCTTTACCAAAGAGTCAAATAAAAGTTTCATCCAAGCCTGACACTTAGCTCATAGAAGATCATGTCACATCTTTTTAAATACAAAAAGTTGTTGAATACTTGACAAGAAAAGTGCTAATTTCTTCTTTTATTGTCATCTCAAGTATAATGGCATTTCTTTTATTTTGAAATTTTTCTATTTCTAATTTCTCTATATTGAAATGCTAGAAATACCAATTTCCTCTCAAATTTTCTAAGTGTTAATATTTTCCCATTTAGAAAGAGATTGACAATTTTCAAAAATCTATTACTTCTCTGTTCCAATCCCTTAGTAAGTACATTTTTTATTTCAAAATGATTTTATAAAATGTTAGCATAAGCTTATATTTCATGCACTAGAGATTCAAACTGATAGTTTTTTCTCTGTGGGTTCTCAGCAATGAATGAAATTTAAGCAATAATTATTATTTGGGTACCTATCATGCCATATTATATCTATTCCATTTATCTTGGAGTTAAACAAAGATGTTAATAAATTCTGTTAGGATCAGATGAATACAAAAAATCAGCAGAAAGTAGAAACTATGATTCCTGATTCTATAATCTAGCCTTTCATGAATACAGTACTATTATTGTTTTAAAAGCTTCAGTGAGTGTTATTTTATTTGTTAAATTAATCTTATAGTCTTTAAAATGCCTAAATCAGAGATTTTTCCTATTTTAATGTATTTAAGAAATTAGGTTGCTATAAAAATAGATTTTTGATACATAAACTTACTAATTCTCCAGATAAGACCCAGAATGCATTCATAAATTCACACCATGTGTGATTTTGGTACAATCACACTTATAGAAAGGCTTCCTGAGAACCACACAGAATTGCCATGGGTTTGCAAGGCTGCTGGCATCACTATTTGATTTGGTTATTTTAAATAAAGCCCAAGGCAAATTACTTGAGAAGTACAAAATAAACCACCATTTGAAACTTTTTATCTTGTAATCTTCTTAACTAAACTTGAAAGAACCAAGATTAAAGGCTTAAAAGTAATGTGATTATTTTATGGGCTGTGGAAATGTTGTATCATTATTGCTATAATGGACTAAATGTTTTAATTCAAATCCCTTCAAGTTATAGGCACAAATTGGCTTACTTTAAATTTTAAATTTTAAACTTCTAAACTATACTATAAGAAGTGTTGGAGAAGATGTGGAGAAAGGAGAACCCTCCTACAATGTTGGTGGGAATGCAAGTTGCTGCAGCCACTTTGGAAAACAGTGTGAAGATTCCTTAAGAAATTAAAAACAGAGCTTCTTTATGACCCTGCAATTGTACTACTGGGTATTTACCCCAAAGATAAAGATGTAGTGAAAAGAAGGACCATATGTATGTCAATATTCATAGCAGCAATGGCCACAATTGCCAAACTGTGGAAAGAGCCAAGATGCCCTTTGACAGATGAATGGATAAAGATGATGTGGTCCATATATACAATGGAATATTATGCCTCCATCAGAAAGGATGAATATCCAACTTTTGTATCAGCATCAAGACTGGAGGAGATTATGTTGAGTAAAGTAAGTCAAGCAGAGAAAGTCGATTATCATATGGTTTCACTTACTTGTGGAGCATGAGGAATGACATGGAGGACATTAGGAAAAGAAAAGGAAAAGTGAATTGGGGGAAATCAGAGGGGGAGACAAACCATGAGAGACTGTGGACCCTGAGAAACAAATTGAGGGTTTTGGAGGGGAAGAGGGGTGGAGGTTAGGCGGTGGTGGGTATTAAGAAGGGCAAGTATCGCATGGGTGATGCATAAACAGTGAATCTTGGAACACTGGAAAAATTAAATTAAATTTTAAAAAAGAATTAAACAGAAAATACCCAACACATTATCTAGTAACTTAACTTGGCAAAATTAGTAAATTATATAAGTGCTTTATCGAGCTGGAATAAAACTTTGAATGAAAAACATCTCCCTTCTTCACTGATACTCAAAGACAGGTGAGGTAAAACTCAGGCAAAAAGTTGCCTTGCAATGAGAGTAATTGTCATACAAAAAGACACAACAGGAACATTCAGCCGATTTTTTGTCTTTTCTCTGCAATATATTATAAAATCTTTTCAGATCCCGGAATCTCTGTCGCAACATCCAGGTTGAATATATATATATAATGAATATAATATTGCTTATTGGTTTTCAATCAAATGAGATGGCAGGAGTATTAATGATCATTTTCACAAATTAGCTTAACTTACTAGGAAAAAAAGTAAAAGGCACTATTACATATGATCACTTAAGTATCAATTTGATTATTGTACTTCAAAACCCTATATAGCATAAAAGAGAAAATTATTTCATATAGCAGCCATGCAGTAATTTTAAATCTAAAATCTAACTTCTACATTCATATTTTCATAAAATGAGTTTCATTTTCCAATTTCCTTCAGGATCTTTTGCGACTGTAATGCAAAAATGATGGCATTATTTTTTTTAGATTTTATTTATTTATTTGAGGGAAAGATAGAGAGAGAGAGAGACAGCGAGCTTGAGCGGGGGAGGGCCATAGGGAGAAGCAGGGTCGCCACTGAGCAGTGAGCCTGTCTTGAACTGGATCCCAGTACCTTGAGAACATGACCCCAACCAAAAGCAGAAGGTTAACTGACTGAGCCACCCTGACGTCCCAAAGAAGAGGGCATTATTAACAACTATATGTATCCATAGATACGTATATCTATAGATATATATAGATATATCTGCTAATAGAATAAAAGTATTTTTAGGCAATTACTCATCTTCCACAAATTTTTCATTAATTTTCTCACATATTACAAAACTGTAGAACAAGTCTGCCAAGAATATCAAGAGTTTGACTAGATGCTTTTTGTATTTGGAGAACTTGCTTACATAAGTTCATTTATTCTGAAACAACAAAAGATGGAAATACACCATACATGAAAATGGATAATAAGATTTTTGATTTTCAATGTTGAAGATTGTTGGCAATTGTGGTAATAAGTAAAATTTTTAACTCTAAATAATTTAGAAAATGTAAGCCTTTTTTTTTTTTTTTTTTTTGCTATTACAAGGTATCAAGTGATATTACTTGCTTAGCGTGAATAGACCAAATCTGAGAGCTGGCATTCAAGTCTAGCAGATTATTTCACCAACACAAATGGTCTATTTTTACAAACCTTCTGAAACAGTTAACATTCACCTAGTTACCTTTTCATCAATAGGGCAACCATATCAAGAAGCAATGTAATTGTCAAAACATGATGTTGTATATCTGAAATTAATATAACACTGTGTTTCAACCATACTTAATAAAAAATAATAAAATAGTTAAAACTAAAATTAAAAAAAGAATGGGAGTTTATCCACAGTCCCAAGTACCTTTTCTTTGCAAAGAAGTGAAAGGATTATTTACTTTGCTTCCCTCAATAAATTAGGAATTAAATTATTAATAAGGGCATATGATGTTGTTTTGAGAAAAAGACTGACTAAAAAGATCTAGGTTTGATTCCATCAATTTACAACAGGTGTGAAGTGACTCTTTGGGGTTTGATTCCTGAACAGAATTTGCAGAGGGTTTTGCAAAGGATGGGAGTGTTGTTGATAAGTCTTCACCTCTTTACAGTGCCAGGAAGGGGAGGGTCCAGAGTTAGTATGACCAATACGAATCTTAAAGAGTGTTCCAATGTTTCCAACCATGATCTAGAAAAGAACCAAGAAAATGTCTTTCAATGTAATTTCACAAAATCCATTTAAAAATAGCTCATATTAGTGTATTATATTTCAATAAAGGGGTTAATCCATCAAGAAATATAATAATTACAAACATGTATATACCTCATGACAAAGTGCCAAAACATATGAAACAAAAACTGACCAAATTGAATAGAGAAGTAATCTAAAATAATGGTTGGAAATTTCAATACCCCACTCCGCATGATGTGTAGAATAACTAGACATAAGATCAATAAAGAAATTAAGAATGTGAACAACATTATAGACCAACTAGATCTAACAGATATTTACAGAACATCTCACCCAACAACAGAAGAATATAGTTCTCTCAAGTACACATGGAATTCATTTTCCCAGGCAGACTGTATGTTATATCACTAAAACTTCTGAAAATTAAATAAGATTGAAATCACACAGAGAATAGTTTCTAACTTCAATGGGATAAAACTAGAAATCACTACAAGGCAAAATGGAAAATCCATAACTGTGTGTAAATTAACAACATACTCTTAAGCAACCAATGAGTCAAAGAAATTGCAAGGGAAATTAATATAATGTTCTTTTTATTAGGCTATAATTGACATATAACATTATATTAGATTCATATATATCATGTGATATTTGTGTAATCGATGAAATGGTCACCACAATAAGTCTAGATACCATCTGTCACCAAGCAAAGCTTTGCCATTTTTTTCCTGTGATGGGAACTTTTATGATTTACTCTCTTAGCAACCTTCATATGTGCAATACAACATTACTGACCACAGCAACGCTGTAATATTATATCCCTGTTACTTATTTATATATTCACCCCATCCCATCTGGCAACTACCAATCTGTTCTGGGTATCTATTAGTTTTGTTTTGTTTCCTTGTGTTTTTTGTTTTTGTTTTTGTTTTTTAGATTCTGCATATAAGTGAAATCATACAGCATTTGTTTTTCTCTGACTTATTTCACTTACTATAATACCCTCAAGGAACACTTACATGGCCACAAGTGTCAAGATCTCATTCTTTTTTATGACTAAGTAGTATTCCATTGTGTATTTATACCACATCTTTATCCATTCTTCCATCAATGGACACTTAAGATTAGTTCCATATCTTGGCTATTGTAAATAATACTGCAATGAACACAAGAGTACACATATCTTTTTGAAATAATATTTTCACTTTTTTTTTTAATTCCAGAAGTAGAATTGTTGGATCATAGTATATTTTTCTCCATAGTGCTTTCCACAGTAATTGTACTAATTTACCTTACCACCAACAGTGCACAGGTTCTCTTTTTTCCTCTTCTTGCCAACTTATTATTCATCTTTTTGATAATAGCCATTCTAACAGGTGGGAGGTGGTATTGCATGGTTTTGATTTACATTTCCCTCATGATTAGTGATGTTAATTATCTTTACATGTCTCTGTTGGACATTTATATATCTTCTTTGGGAAAATGTCTATTCAGATCTACCCATTTTTAATCAAATTATTTCTTTTTTTGATATTGGGTTATATGAGTTCATTATATATTTTGGATATTAACCCCTTCTTAGATATATGACTTGGAAATATCTTCTATTCAGTAGGGTTTTTTTTCTTTTTTCTTTTTTCTTTTTCTTTTTTTTTTTTTTGATGGTTTCCTTTATACAAAAGATTATAGTTTGATGTAATACCACTTGTTTATTTTTGCTTTTCTTGCCCTTGCCCTTGCGTTTGGAGTCAGAGTTAAAAAATGATAACCAAGACTAATGTCAAAAAGCTTACCACCTATGTTTTCTTCAGTTTTATAGTTGCAGATATTACATTCAAGACTTTAATTGATTTTGAGCTAATTTTTGTATATGGTGTAACATGGTGGTCCAGTGTCATTCTTTTGCATGTGACTGTCCAGTTTCCATCCGAGCATCATTTATTTATTATATAAATTTATATATAAATATATATAAATATATATATATAAATATATAAATATAAATATAATAATATAATAATGGCCTCCTTTTGTCATGAGTTGACTATATATGCATGGGTTTATTTCTGAGCTCTCTATTCTGTTCCATTGATCTATATGTCTGTTAATGTTGATACTATACTATTTTGATTACTACAGCTTTGTAGTGTATATTCAAATCTGGGGTTTTGATACCTCCAAATTTGTTCTTCTTTCTCAGGACTGCTTTGGATACTTGGGATCTTTGTGGTTTCATACATAGATATTGGATATCTATTTTCATGCATATTGAATTGATCCTCTGCTATGAAAAATGCCATAAATTTTCAAAGGGATAACATTTAATACATAGATTGCTTCAGCTAATATGGACATTTTAAAAATATTAATTCTTTTTTTTTGAGAATTTATTTATTTATTTGACAGACAGAGATCACAAGCATGCAGAGAGGCAGGCAGAGAGAGAGAGGAGAAAGCAGGCTCCCCGCTGAGCAGAGAGCCTGATGTGGGGCTCGATCCCAGGACCCTGGGATCATGACCTGAGCTGAAGGCAGAGGCTTTAACCCACTGAGCCACCCAGCTGCCCCCAAAATATTAATTCTTCTAATCCATGAGCATAGAGTATCTTCTTGTTTATTTGTGTCTTCTTCAATATCTTTCATCAATGTCTTCTAGTTTTCAGTATACAGGAATTTTACCTCCTTGGTTAAATTTATTCCTAGGTATTTTATTCTTGTTGATACAATTGTAACTGGGATTGTCTTCTTAGTGTCTCTTTCTTATAGTTCACGGTTAATGTATAAAAACACAAAAGATTTTTGTATATTGTGTTTTTACCCTGAAACTTTAGTGAATTTTTTTATTAGTTCTAACAATTTTTGGTGGATTCTTAGGAGTTTGCTATATATGAAAACATGTAATTCATAAGTAGTGACAGTATTACTTTTTCATTTCCAATTAAAGTCATTTCTATTTCTTTTTCTTGTCTAATTGCACTGGCTATGATTTCTAATACTGTGTTGAATAAAAGTGGCAAGGAAGAATGGATATTACTGTCTTATTCCTGATCTTAGATGAAAAGATTTCAGTTTTTCATCACTGAGTATGATGTTAGCTATGGGTTTGTCCTATATGGCCTTTATTATGTTGAGGTATGTCCCCTCTACACCCACTTTGTTGAGTTTTTATGATAAATGAATGTTGAACTTTGTAAAAAAAAAAATTCATGTCTACTGAGATGAACATGATTTTCATCCTTCATTTTGTTAATGCTATATATCATATGGATTGATTTACAGGTGTTTAACCGTGCTTGCATCCCTGGAATAAATCTCACATGATCATAGTGCATGATCATGTTAATGTATTATTATTCCATTTGTTTTGCTAATATTTTGTTGAGGACTTTTGCATCAATATTCATCAATGATAATGGCTTATAATTTTCTTTTGTTGTGGTTCCTTGATCGGTTTTGGTATCAGGGTATGTTGACCTTTAAAAATGAGTTTGGAAGCAACCCCTCTTTTTCAATTTTTTGGAATATTTTGAGGAGTACATGTGTTAATTCCCCTTTAAGTATTTGGTAGACTCTACCTATGAAGTCATCTACCACTGGACTTCTGTTTGCTGGAAGTTTTGTTTTTTTTTTTTTTTTTAATTTTTTATTTCTTTTCAGCATAACAGTATTCATTGTTTTTCACCGCACCCAGTGCTCCATGCAATCCATGCCCTCTCCAATACCCACCACCTGGTTCCCCCAACCTCCCACCCCCCACCCCTTCAAAACCCTCAGATTGTTTTTCAGAGTCCATAGTCTCTCATGGTTCACCTTCCCTTCCAATTTCCCTCAACTCCCTTCTCCTCTCCATCTCCCCTTGTCCTCCATGTTATTTGTTATGCTCCACACATAAGTGAAACCATAGGATAACTAACTCTCTCTGCTTGACTTATTTCACTCAGCATAATCTCTTCCAGTCCTGTCCATGTTGCTACAAAAGTTGGGTATTCATCCTTTCTGATGGAAGCATAATACTCCATAGTGTATATGATGGACCACATCTTCCTTATGCATTCATCCGTTGAAAGGCATCTTGGTTCTTTTCCCAATTTGGCGACCGTGGCCATTGCTGCTATAAACATTGGGTACAGATGGCCCTTCTTTTCACTACATCTGTATCTTTGGGGTAAATACCCAGTAGTGCAATGGCAGGGTCATAGGGAAGCTCTATTTTTAATTTCTTGAGGAATCTCCACACTGTTCTCCAAAGTGGCTGCACCAACTTGCATTCCCACTAACAGTGGAAGAGGGTTCCCCTTTCTCCACGTCTTCTGCAACACATGTTGTTTCCTGTCTTGCTAATTTTGGCCATTCTAACTGGTGTAAGGTAGTATCTCAATGTGGTTTTAATTTGAATCTCCCTGATGGCTAGTGATGATGAACATTTTTTCATGTGTCTGATAGCCATTTGTATATCTTCATTGGAGAAGTGTCTGTTCATATCTTCTGCCTATTTTTTGATATAATTGTCTGCTTTGTGTGTGTTGAGTTTGAGGAGTTCTTTATAGATCCTGGATATCAACCTTTTGTCTGTACTGTCATTTGCAAATATCTTCTCCCATTCCGTGGGTTGCCTCTTTGTTTTGTTGACTCTTTCCTTTGCTGTGCAGAAGCTTTTGATCTTGATGAAGTCCCAAATGTTCATTTTCACTTTTGTTTCCTTTGCCTTTGGAGACATATCTTGAAAGAAGTTGCTGTGGCTGATATCGAAGAGGTTACTGCCTATGTTCTCCTCTAGGATTCTGATGGATTCCTGTCTCACGTTGAGGTCTTTTATCCATTTTGAGTTTATCTTTGTGTACAGTGTAAGAGAATGGTCGAGTTTCATTCTTCTGCATATAGCTGTCCAGTTTTCCCAGCACCATTTATTGAAGAGACTGTCTTTTTTCCACGGTATATTTTTTTCCTGTTTTGTCGAAGATTAATTGACCATAGAGTTGAGGGTCCATATCTGGGCTCTCTACTCTGTTCCACTGGTCTATGTGTCTGTTTTTATGCCAGTACCATGCTGTCTTGGTGATCACGGCTTTGTAGTAAAGCTTGAAATCAGGTAACGTGATGCCCCCAGTTTTATTTTTGTTTTTCAACATTTCCTTAACGATTCAGGGTCTCTTCTGATTCCATACAAATTTTAGGATTATTTGCTCCAGCTCTTTGAAAAATACCGGTGGAATTTTGATCGGAATGCCATTAAAAGTATAGATTGCTCTAGGAAGTATAGACATTTTAACAATGTTTATTCTTCCGATCCAAGAGCATGGAATGGTCTTCCATCTTTTTGTGTCTTCTTCAATGTCTTTCATGAGTGTTCTGTAGTTCCTTGAGTACAGTTCCTTTACCTCTTTGGTTAGGTTTATTCCCAGGTATCTTATGGTTCTTGGTGCTATAGTAAATGGAATCGATTCTCTAATTTCCCTTTCTGTATTTTCATTGTTAGTGTATAAGAAAGCCACTGATTTCTGTACATTGACTTTGTATCCTGCCAGGTTGCTGAATTGCTGTATGAGTTCTAGTAGTTTGGGGGTGGAGTCTTTTGGGTTTTCCATATAAAGAATCATGTCATCTGCGAAGAGAGAGAGTTTGACTTCTTCATTGCCAATGTGGATACCTTTTATTTCTCTTTGTTGTCTGATTGCTGTTGCTAGGACTTCTAATACTGTGTTGAACAAGAGTGGTGAGAGTGGGCATCCTTGTCGTGTTCCTGATCTCAACAGGAAGGCTACAAGCTTTCCCCGATTGGGGATGATATTTGCTGTGGGTTTTTCATAGATAGATTTGATGAAGTTCAGGAATATTCCCTCTATCCCTATACTCTGAAGCATTTTAATCAGGAACGGATGCTGGATTATGATAGACCTGTATTGCTACAAACTTATCTATTAGAACTACTACTGCTATTCACCATAGATTTTGGTATGTTGTGTATCCATTTTCATTTGTCCCCAGATATTTTTTTTTTAATTTCTCCTTTCACTGACCCATTGCTTATTCAGTAGCTTGTTATTTAATCTC